ATTCAGAGTTACAATGGCACTGAACGAAGGGACTTACAAAGCAGTCCTCCCCCACAGTCATAAGATCACGATTCAGGCACTTGGCAACCAGCCCACATTTCAGACCATTGCAGCATCCCACAGTCACATGATCAATATTTGCAAACTTCCCTACTAGCTTCCCATAAGCAAAGTCAATGGAGAAGTTGGCAGGAAGTCACAAGTCAAGACATCCTTGATTAATGACCATGCAATATTTGCTTAATGATGGCAACTGGAAGTGCCGGAACTACGCTTGTTAGTTGACACGGTCACCTGATTTTCCACTCTATGACCGCATTGCTTAGTGATGGAGTTGCCAGTCCCAATTACTATTGTTAACCAAGGACTACCTTTATTGTGGTTTTCTCTGATGCTGACTTACCTAACAGCTGTTCATCCAAGTTTGTTGTTTTATTTATTTTTTTAATGATGCTCCCCAATTTTCCATTTAGCATCCCTCCAAGGTGGGAAATTCAGAACTGTTGCATGAAACCACTCTTTGCTTTACTTGGAGAACTTGGGACAATTGTCTGAGTTCACACAGCAAACCTATCCATCTTAGAAGCAACACAGCTCCCCGAAACTTGGACAATGCAGATATAAGAAAGAGAAGCAGTGAGTTTCTCATGTTTTCTTACGCTGCTCTAACAACGTAAGAGGCTTCAAGGCCATTCTAGTGAAGAATTTAGTAGGAGATTGAGCAACACTGTTGTTTCTGCTAAATGGCAAGAACTAGAATTATTAGTTGACACTGATAAAAGCCATGCATCTTCAAACTATTAGTGTGAATCCCATGCAAAATGAACTTATTGTGCAGAAGTAGCTCTTCAGTTGTTGCTGCAGTTCTCTTCTGCAAAAATCCAGACAATTGGTAGAAGGCAATAAAGAGAAAGATAGAAAACGATTGCTCTTTGCTGCCATCTAGTGGTTGTTCAGATCTTCCAAGTCCAGATCTGGTAGCCCTACCCACCCCGATTTCTTAGAACAGCACAGAGAAGTCTAAACATATACTTTTCTCAGTATCTTGTTCTTCTGGAAATCACATCTGTCCAAGTTGGGATGCGGTATTCTTTTGCTGCATACAGTCCGGCGGATATCGACATCCAGTCTGTATTTCACTCCTTTCACAATCTAAAGAAATCAGTTTCCATATTATTAAAGAGCACCCAGAATGGACAAAGTAAAGAGAACAGAGGCTGAGAGGTCAAAGAGTTGGAAAAAATGGTGGGGAAACTGGAGGCAGCTGAGTATACACATCCTACTGTTCACAGGACGATCCCCAAATAAATAATTTGTGCAATTATTTTTAAAATAATAATTACAAAGGACAGAGGCTATAATACTAGAAAACAAATTCTTGTTTATATTAGGTCCATTTCCCATTTTCTAAAAACAGTAATCTAGCCAGGCATTGGAGAACTTTGGAACAAGTTTCTGGTTTCACATCCACCTGAAGCGACAACAATCAAAAAGTATGGCTACCATCTATCTGGGTTTATATGGCCATCAACTCAGCTGTGGCAGCTGCTGGACCAAGACAAACAATAGCTCAGCTTATTCCTTTAGGTTTCAAAAAGTCTGAAAGAAATACACAGCGAAAGACGGAAGCAAGAGTGGTTTGAAGGGAAACTTCCATCTTGGCGTGTGTGCAAGGAGAGTTCTGAAGCAGTGGACACCAGTCCTTCCTTCCCTTTGTGGGTTCCCTCCTTCCCCAGGGACTCTAAGACCTCAGGAGGAGCACTGGACGGTGCCTGGGGCTCCAATGACAAAAGGAAGAGGCTGATGGCATCTGAGCATGGGGGAGTCTGTTGGAAGGAGATTCTTGGGTGGGAGAGGAGGGCAGGAAGAAGATGCAGGCAAGAGGCTGGAGCAGCTGCCAGGATAAAGGGCAGGCACCTGGTGGTAAAGAAGGAGCTGGGGTGGTTTCCAGCGTACCACCAGTGGAAGAACTGAAAGGGGAAGCAGAGCTGCTGGTAAGATACCTTCCCTTTTCCCCCAGACTGGAAGACTGCAAAACCAAGGCTTCAGCTGCAGCTCAGAACAGCAGCTGGAAGCAACAGAAGCCAAGTAACTTCAAGGTGGCTAAAAAATTTGTCACAGCCCAGGCAACAAAGGAGAAAAGAACTGTTCATAGGACTCTTTAGGATTTAGGTTCATAGCATAGAATATGTTTAGTGATCAGGTTAAGTTTGAAGTTAAGAGATAAGTTTGTTAAGCCTTTTCTGCATTGGAAACATAGGAAAGGCAACACTGGTCTCCTGGTCAGTGGTCTGTACCATTTCTCAAAGAAAAAAATAATAACCCTCCCACAGTGATAGGCGCAAAAAGATTATGTTTTGCATTTTTAGTCAGCAAAAGAATTCATTGCATTTATTGCCAGAAGAATCAGGCAGTACTTACCTGCATCGTGGCTTTATTGATGTGAGATTCTTTGAACAAAAAGAGATCATTTGAACTGTTGTTGTATTTATAAACCCCAAGCCTAGCAGCTCTTTGAACTGTGGGGTCATTTGTCTTTACAGGGACAAGAGATCCAGGTTGAATCGATGAATTGGGCAACTGCCCGGGGGCATCTGTGCAAGAATAACAATTTACAAAGGGACAATTACAGGGAGTCCCCAGTTAAGAATGACTGGTTTATAGCCAACCCATAGTTAAGAATGGAGCCTATTGCAGCAAAATTTGAGTTAACTATACAACGGTTCGAGTTCATTACACAATATTACTTATACAGGATTATACAATAATACTGTTCTGGCTTACATACAAATTCAATTTAAGGACACACCTTGGGAACAGAACTTGTCTTTAAACTGGGGACTTATCTATATTTTAAACTCTCAGCCTGGGAAGAAATATATTCTATCAGAAGATTTATTTCTTTTGATAGAACATATTTTTTAATTCAAGACATACACACATCCACCCACCCACCCACCCCACACACACATATATAGGGCGCATGGTGTCATCTCATACACTTCCAGAAATCCTAAATCTTAGGGATTAATTGCAAGGACATGCCCTCCTTGTAAACTCCAAGTGACATACGGCAAGCCAAGAATTGGAACAGAAGTCCAAATGTGATGAGATATTCAATACATTTTTGGCATTTAATGCACATGGAGTCTCCAACCTGCTCTTGAGAAGCCCAGAAACTAAATCTTCTCCAATCCCCATGTGCTTTGAAAAGTTCTAACCCTTCTCTAGACTGCCTTGAAAAGTGGGACTCTCCTTCCCTGCAGGTGTTTAAACAGAGGCCAAATGGCTGTCTGTTGGGTTGTGGTGATTTCCTGCACTAGGCAGGGGGTTGGACTGCATGATCTCCACATTTCCTTCCAGCCCTTGCATTGTATGGGCAATGGCAAAAATTAATAGTAGGAGGACTGTGGAAAGAAAATTTGAGGAAATTTACAAACAAATTATGGGTCAATGTTTCAGTTTTATCTTTGCCTTATATACTTTGTGGCTGTGTTTGCAGAAAATAGTAACCCATGATTTACTGAATGGAATCTATTGCCTGGTTTTGCACAAAGCACTCAGCCACAAACTACAGTAATTACTTTTGCTAAGTTAAAATAGCACCTTAAGCTAAAATGTAGTTGGCTACTTCGTGGTTCAGTGTGCCCTGTGAGCACAGCCAGTGTTAGACCATAAGCAAGCCACTTAATCTGCCTGTCTTGCTATTTGCTACCAGTAAAACATACGGTGCCACCGAAAATATTAAGTTAAAGAATTTAGTGGGTGGCTCACTCAAGTATCAATTTGCATCAGCATTTATTTCGGTTCCTCTTCATCTGGAAAATGTCATTTATGGCGACATAGTAAATGTTCCTTCCTAACATCTAAAACAACATGAATGGCAGTGTTATGTTCTATTTCTAATGTACCTTCATTTCTTGTGCACATTAAACAAAAACTAGAACGGAAGGAAGCGAGATAACGATTTGTCAAACAGCAGATGATTTTTAAACTTCATGCCTCTGCTTTTTCATCTGATGGTTTATTTAATTGGTTTTGCTGATGATTGTACAAAATGAGCAATAAAAACAAAATGCTGAGCTCCTCTGAAAGAAAGAATTGTCTATCACAATAATAAATAATGACAGCACAGCAATATGAACGAGAGCCTTCTAGCTGGCAGTCTCCTATGTCCCAAGATGCTCATCAAGCTGTCATACTCTTTTAAAATAAAATATTTGAAAAACCCAAGTCCACCTGTTACAAGGACATCTTGCAAGAGCTGTCTTTGAAAACAGAATTATTCAACTGCTTGCTATCATAAGGTCAGAATCCACCCAATATTAAACAGCATTCTGGATTTTAGGAAGATCACCATTCCCTCTGTTATGCAAACACTACAGCAGAATATTCAAGTTAGTTCCTGATCTTACCAGCTGAAGAGTTGGGCACATCACAGAGAAGCAGAAAGCAAAGAGTAATCACCCTCCAGCCAAAGAACATTGTTGTCTTGCTTTACCATAAACAGCATAGGAGCAAAGCAGCAACTTCTTACACCCAAGAAAGGAAGTGGGGTTTCAGAAATTCTCATTAGTCAGGAAGAGCCTCTTTTGGTTTTTTTCTTTTTTCTTTTCTTT